TAATACGGTATACAAAAATGCTGACTCTCTCTCTCTCTCTCTCGCTCTCTCTTCCGACTGTTCATTCAACACAATTTATAATGAATTTATTATTACATGTAAACAATTAATGGAAAAAACATAAAGTTATTTATATTCACCCGATTGGATATAAAATATTAATAAAAACCACTGCATTAGGTAATAAAAATTTATCATACTCAAACATTTAAACAAACTTCACTGAAAATACAATAAATCTATTGCAAATATATTTACCATTAGCATTTATTTTGGATTAATGGTACTAATACAGTACTATTATAAAAATTTAGGTAAAATTAATACAGTATATTGTATTTGTTTTTGAGTTAAAATTATAAATAATAGAAATGTAATAATTATAAACTTTTATTACAGTTCTATTCAATTACCGCTAATTGTTTCCTATGACAGTGTTTTGTTTAATATTAATAAGTGAATTTTCTATTTTACAAAAAATTTATTAAATTTGCAAATTTCTTTTGACTCTTATCTTATATAATGGAAATTTATTGTCTACTATATATTTAACTGTAACTTTAACACAGTCAAAGCAATAAATGTACATTAAATAAATACATATAAATATTACTAAAACAATGACCATTTGAAAAATTGCTCATGTTAATAAATTATGATTAATTTGAATAAATATAAAAATTTTATAATCTTCTATATTTACAAAAAACGAGATAACAATTAGTTATACAATAAATAATATAAAACTTAATATGTAAACTATGTAAAACTGCATTCATAAATTAGTTATTTAAGATAAAGTTATTTATTGTATATAACTTTATATTTATAAAGTTATATATTATTTTAAATTATTTTTCATTTAAAGAATATAACTAAAATAACTTAACAAATAATTTGGTAGAATATTCTGTAATAATTGAATGAAAAATGCAGTGAAACCAATGGCGACATCTATTTTAGAAGAATACAGTTATTAAATAAATTTGTGTTCATATATTGCTTAAGAGCACAAATAACAGTATGAATGTATAGATATTATTAATTGAATAATTAGTTAATGAATTAACTGTATATAGGTATATATTGTATTTACTGTAGATAATGATGTTTTTAACCTATTTAAGCTATAGTTTATTTTATTTAATATGGTAGACTATTTAAATTTAACAAGCCAGTATCTAGTTTGCTTTTGGTAAACATATTATGGTAATTTATTAATCCATATTAAAATATAGATAAATTTACTAATTTTTCATCGGGATGTTATAAAATGAAATAAGGTGAAATGAGTTTTAAGACTTTGAATATTGGATTCAATTTATTAGTTAAAGAGATGTATATATAATATATTGACAAATGTGTAGAACAGATGGCATTTATGGCACAATAGATACAAACGATTCTTGAATTCTGTTATATATTCTGTATATAAAACACAAGAATTCATTTCGCAGACAGACATTCAAAATATAGCAAAAAATCAGGAAAACATTATTAAATCGAAAAATAAATTTATAATTACATTTAATACGAGAGATAATAATTATTATGCTTTTTATGTTATCATTAAAAACAATATACGATTAAAATTAAACTCAATAATATTACACAATTTTGATGTCTGTTTATAGATATATAATCACATAAATATATAATCATTACATTTATATTCTGTAATGTAATCGGAATTATATTTCAGAAATTCCGTGAATTTGTTTTTGTTTTATTAATAAAATTATTTCTTAAAATATATTTATATTTAATATTAAAGCCAATGATTGGCTTCCGATTAGAAAAAGACAGGAATTTATTTATATATTTATAATTTATATAATATTCTTATACACCATATATAAAGAGATCTTCATTTGTTATCCTATATATTATATATGAAACCTTGTTTTCTATTATCATTACAATTCATTGTGTGATATAAAAAACAAAATAAATTTATGATAAATTACAGTAATAATCATTATAATAGAAATTTAACAAAAATAAATAATATAGAAATGGTCGCTAACTTAGCACTCGTCTCGCAAACACAAAAAACAACAAAAACTCATTTAATTTTATAAAAAACAAAACTAAAAAAAGTAAATTCACAAAAATTCTTTGTGTACAAAAAGTTTGCAACTGAAAAAAACAAACAAAAAATACTTTTAATTAACAAAACAATATTAAAACACATAAAACTAAAGCGATAAATCAATAAAACAACAAATAACAAAATTGGGCATGGTGTGTAGAAACCAATCACCGGGATCATGTGTGTCCAATTAAATTAAATCATCAATACTTTAACCGTCAAACCCAACCGTTGCCGGTGAAGGCATTCTGTGAACAGCTATTGTTATATTCAATACTATTCATGTGTGAGAGGGAACTGTTGGAGCGACTCATGTAGTGGTGGTCGGCGTATATGTGTTGCGTTTGGGGATGAAGTCCTACACCAGACGTCCCGCCAGAGTAATAGGGATGTTGAGGGGTGTGATGGTTGGGATGGTTGGGATGGCTGGGATGGCTGGGGTGGTGATGGTGTGAGAGGGGCGCTGGTGGTGGAGGCGGGGGAGGCATGGGTGGGGCCGGGTGTATGTGCTCGTGCTGTTGATGAAAGGCGAGACTCGTTTTGAATTGATTTCCGTGATTCTGTACGTGAAGAGCACTTCGAGATAAGCCGTTGATCGACGATAGAGACGGCGATGAGGTGTTGGCAGTGATGGCTGAGGCGGTCGACGCGTTGGCAGCGACGGACCGCTTCTGTTTGGCCGCTTCTAACATCATATCGACGTCCGCTAAATCACTCTTTGATAAATCAATTGTTCGCTTCCCAAACACTTTCACTAATATTGCCTATTGTTTGATATGTCAGAGAGAGAGAGAGAGAGAGAGAGAGAGAGACGTCAGGAATTAGTGATATCATTGTTGTTGACATTGATATTAGAGGATCTGCTCCCGAGAAGAGAGCCCAGGGAGTGGTAGCGCACACTTCACCGCCACTTCACTAGCATTATGTTTGCTAATATATAAAGGCATTCAATGACTGATAATATTTCGGCGTTTATTTACTTTTCAGTCAATTTAGTTGAAGAGTTATATTAACCCGAAATTTACGACTTTTATCTTAATTAATATAAAGTTTATTTCCAATGGAAAACAATTAAAACAATTTTAATATACGTAATGTTTTGGGCAATTGTCTGAACAATACTCGTATAACTACTGATGTGTGCGTTATTTGAGCGGTCATTGGATTGATTCTGATAGCACTTGATATATATAAAGAGTATGTGACAAACAAATGGATGAAAAAACATTATTAATTAGTTGTTGACATTTAAACTGCCGTATAGTGTAGTGTAATGTACGGGCAATAGTATAGTAAAGTATAGCAAAAGTCTGGTCATTGCACAGCACTCTCCGGCCTCTCATGCAAAAGGGAAATAAGGAAATCCTATTTCCATTCAATTCACTTAATTATCGATTTTCTTTTCCACTCTTTTCCTTACACTCCGACTGCTATTTCATTCGTAGTATCATTTGATACCTCCGCTCGACTCCAGTTCTCTCAGCCTTTTATTCATTTATTACATCAGAGAGAGAGAGAGAGAGAGAGAGACTTTAAGAGCAAATATATGATATATAAAATGCATAACACGTTATGATAATTCTTGTCTATATTTTCTATGAAATATACGTATACTTAATATGATATTTGTGTTTAATTCAAAATTTATGCACAAATAATTATCTCAGAAAATACTAACTATTTATACGCAAACAAAAAAGAAAGAGAAAACTATAAGTAAAATGAAAAATACATTAATAATCCCAACATCTGTTTTAACTACATTTCCCTTTAGATTCTTAACAAAATTGCATTTCACATTAGTCTCTCTCTCTCTCTCTCTCTCTCTCTCTCTCTCTCTCGCTTTCTTTGAGATGTATATAATATATACGTTTGCTATATGTCTGGGAAATAGGCATTAGTTTTAATGCCCATCGAATGAGAGAATCTTAAGTCAAATACAGTATTACTTTTACATCTCTTTTTATACTTTATTTTTATACATTTTCTTCCCCTTTAAGACTACTTTATTCTGAATTCTACTTTAGTTTTAAGAGAAAATTTTTAATGTGTTTCGGCAGTAGTTAAGTATCATTTCAAATGCTTCCTCACATCTCAAAGGTATCCATACTTTCCATTACTTCCAACAAAACATATAACATATACACAATGTTTATAACATGTATATAACTTATAGAACTTTGTATAAGATAGTAGCCATCAATACATTGATGCATTTTTAAGACATCAAAATACTGTATTTGTTAAGTTTAAAACAAAATATAAAAATAAAACAATACAAACATAACAAACAAAAAGTAACAGAATTTGATTCCCAATGCTATTAAAAATGCTTATGTTTTTAGTATTTGTCTCTTCACTCATGTTTATGAATTGAGGCCCAAATTGTGATGTTTTTTATTTATGATAAAAACATTTTTACTCTACTTTTTTCAAATACACGAATGTCTTCTTATTTCCATATATACAATGATTTTTTGTTTAGTTTTATTTATTTATTTTTCGTATTTTCGCTTTTTATTTGCGCTAATGTTTAGAAAATATAAAACATTTTCTCTCCGAAGAGTAAAATCAAATCTATTGTCAAAATAAAACTATTTATAAATTATGACAGATTTGAGAGGGTTGGAGACAAGAATTTATTTTCTATATAGTGTTTACCAATCATTGAGTGAAATACAAATAAAACACTGCATTTGTCTCGCAATGAATGCAAAATTTTTAATTTATAAATTATGACAGATTTGAGAGGTTTGGAGACAAGAATTTATTTTCTATATAGTGTTTACCAATCATTGAGTGAAATACAAATAAAACACTGCATTTGTCTCGCAATGAATGCAAAATTTTTTGCTTCAATTTTAGGTATTAACCGAAAGAGAGAAAGCAACCGATAAAATCAAAACCAGTGCTAAAATAACAAAACCCGTTAACCAACAAAACAACAACAAAATAAAAACGTTAATCCAATATAACGTGTATTCCCTGTAATGCTCTCCATATCTATCTGTGTGTTAGGAAATTGTCTCTCATTTAAGGCATAATTGATTTTTGTTGGCCAAACATAACACACAGAATAGATATATTCTGTACAGAATATACACTATATGTCTATAGTATTTCGGTAGCAATAAAGTGCTGCTCACAAATAGACATAACAGGGAAAAAGTACTAACAAAAAAAACATGGCATCAAATACTGGTGAGTAAATTGTCTGTCGATTAGAGTCGGGCCTCAAATGAGAGAGCAGTAAATGAATGAAAATAACAAACAAGAAAACCCACGACAACAACACTATTTGGTGTTGTGTTCACTGATTTGCTCAACAATTTCATCGCCCGATAAGTCTTTTCAGTGCATTCAATGGTAGCAAGAATTTAAAAAAACTCTAGAGAAATGCGAGTGTAATGTATGTACAAAATAAATGGTAGCACCGGTAGGCGAGAGATAGTGGTAACTTGTGATGGTGATTGTGCCGGGTGATAGTGTACACAAGTACGTTATGGGTGTTCACAAAACTTACCACAATCAAAATTGTGAGCAAGATGAGAATGGCCACGTAGAACCACTGTTCGTTGAACCAGCGTTTCAATGATGCCATACTCTCGTTGGACAGCAGCAGTCGTCGCAAAGTGGCCAAAGGGCCGGACGGGTCCACTTCCCGGCACTTCTGGAACGCATCGCAATATCCATTATAGTTATCACATGGAGTGCCGGCCTTAGCGTTCAGATCCGGCACATCGTATGGCACAGAATTCCACTCAAACGACGATCTGTGCAATCAATGAAAGAGAGGGCACCGGTATGTGAGTGTGTGTTTGGGGGACGATATGGTCAGTCATTTATATAATGAATGTTAGCATATATATTATGTTTAGGGACGAGAATAATCGCATTGTATTGTTATATATCTATAAGACATGCATATAAAGAATTGGACTAATTTTTTCTTTGTTCACTCGTAATATAGTATAGGAATGCATACATACGGGAGTCGTTATAACATCGCTCCCTATCTCTCCCCTTAACTATTATTATTCCTTAGAGTATAATAATATGAAAAATATTTTTCTCCTCAATCTATATGTTATATATATAAGAGGGCATTGAATTTGGATGAGAGATGCAATAATTCTCTGTTCAAAGAATGTATGGGCACAGGGAGGCTGTAATGCCATTATAATGGGAGATATATGACTGTCTAGATGTATGTATGTGTGTATGAATGGGGTGGGGGTTTGGGTGTGGGGTTTGACTTACTTGCACGTCGAGTCCTTTGAAGGCAATCTACAGCACAATTCGCATGATTTAGTGATGGGATCGTTGGGCCCTCGTCTACATTGACACGATTCCAGGCCGTAAGCCATACATATACTACCCGTGCACTCCTGGAGTAGTAAATGGTTATTATTATTATACGTAAAGAATTGTTACTATTCTTATACAAAGTGTTATATATTTTATATTTTTCTCATTTTATTTGTTTAGTTATTTATTCATGCGTTTTATGGNCGGATCTGAACGCTAAGGCCGGCACTCCATGTGATAACTATAATGGATATTGCGATGCGTTCCAGAAGTGCCGGGAAGTGGACCCGTCCGGCCCTTTGGCCACTTTGCGACGACTGCTGCTGTCCAACGAGAGTATGGCGTCATTGAAACGCTGGTTCAACGAACAGTGGTTCTACGTGGCCATTCTCATCTTGCTCACAATTTTGATTGTGGTAAGTTTTGTGAACACCCATAACGTACCTGTGCACACTATCACCATCATAAGTTACCACTGTCTCGCCTACCGGTGCTACCATTTATTTTGTACATACAGAACATTACACTAGCATTTCTCTAGAGTTTTTTTTAAAATTCTCGCTACCATTGAATCCACTGAAAAGACTTATCGGGCAATGAAATTATTGAGCAAATCAGTGAACACAACACCAAATAGTGTTGTTGTCGTGGATTTTCTTGTTTGTTATTTCCATTCATTTACTGCTCTCTCATTTGAGGCCCGACTCTAATCGACAGACAATTTACTCACCAGTATTTGATGCCATGTTTTTTTTGTTAGTACTTTTTCTCTGTTATGTCTATTTGTGAGCAGCACTTTATTGCTACCGAAATACTATAGATATATATAGTGTATATTCTGTACAGAATATATCTATTCTGTGTGTTATGTTTGGCCAACAAAAATCAATTATGCCTTAAATGAGAGACAATTTCCTAACACACAGATAGATAGGGAGAGCATTACAGGGAATACACGTTATATTGGATTAACGTTTTTATTTTGTTGTTGTTTTGTTGGTTAACGGGTTTTGTTATTTTAGCACTGGTTTTGATTTTATCGATTGCTTTTCTCTTTCGGTTAATACCTAAAAATTGAAGCAAAAATTTTGCATTCATTGCGAGACAAATGCAGTGTTTTATTTGTATTTCACTCAATGATTGGTAAACACTATATAGAAAATAAATTCTTGTCTCCAACCCTCTCAAATCTGTCATAATTTATAAAT